ATAATGAGGCTCATACACGCACACATAAACACATTTACGCCGAAATTCTTTTCAAAAAAATAGCTTATTTATGTACACATAGTATGTAGTTGTTTGTTGAAATCTCATGCAAGCGCGCAAGTTAGGGAGCAAGTGTTGGCATTAAAAGTGCTAACCTTAGGAAACGGAAACATTCATGTATTTAAGTGTACCAGAGCATTAGTTAGTTATTAATTGTAGTGTAAGCATATAACGTGGCTTGCATGTATTCATCTATACCTATATATGCATGTATGTGTGTACATAGTGTACATGTGTAAATTTTACTAAAAGCCTTTTACTTAAGAAAATTAAACAAGTTCCCTATAGAATTTTAACTAATAGTAATCAACATTTTCCTAAAGTAAATAAGGGTACAAAAGAAAGAATCTGTGCATAATTTTATGATATCATACCATTACTAGGCCAGCACAAAACTATTCTTCTTTTCCTTTTTATAACTAAAATAATCCGATTTTATTTTATGTCAAAAGTAGGTCTCTCCTCAAAAATGGAAATTTGAAGAAATTTGTGTTCAAGAAAGAAATCATGAAACTGATTATAATGATCACTTTCATCTTCGTTAGCTATGCATCCGCGATATGAGAGAAAGCTAAAGGTGATAAAAAGAACCGCCAGACTACTTATTGTTAAAGCTAAGTTAACTGAATTTGTACAGCTAAGGGTTAATACCTAACTTCAGAAGCGTACATTTTTCGTTATGCGTGGGTTACTGTTGATATTTATATAATGCGAAAACATTAGTTTGTCTTTGAAAAGGGTTCTATTGTTTTTAAAAGTAATAAAATAAGCAATTGTGGGACACGGCTCCCTAGCACGGCACAATACCGCTTCGCTTAGTACGTTTATTGATATAACGTCTTCTCTGAGTGAGGTATAAGACGAGAACTAATCGAAGAGATGGTGCGATTATAGGCATTAGTGGCAATAGTGTTCGTCCCTGGGCTAAAACATCCAGCCCTAATGGTCTTAAATACTTTCGTGACTAAAGACTTAATTGAAGATATGCTACTATCTAGTTAGGTCAACCTATAGTTACTTGTATAAGGACTTTCAAGTGGTGCGATCTGAGCCATTTTGAATAGTCATCACTCTTGAGCCAAGGCATATGGACGTAACAAATTGAAAAGGTTGAACAAAAGAAAACAAGACGGGTAGACGAACGGATGTAGAAAGTGACTCCGAATCGATCGGTACAAAATGCGAGTTTATCTCAAGTCTTTCCATTTATACATCCTTGTACCACAAGCATCGTATGGCTCAGATGTTCTCCTTTATGACCAATTAAAGACCAATTTAACCTTACCTTCATTAAAACTATTTATTATTCCAAATCTGGTTCAGCGGCTTCAAAGGCGATATCACCTCAGATATGATGCACTTATGCCAACCTTTTTTCCAATCCTCGAAATCGTCGAGTTGTCGTAGTCAATTCCGAAAATGTTCTTCAAAGCTTTCTTCGACTCAGCTGGTGTCTCTTCAATCGAGTTGAAACTTAATCCTCGGAGTAGTCTCTTCAGCTTAGGGAATAGCCAGAAATCACTTACGGCTAAATTACTTGTCCTTTAGACCGGCATCATCGGCATCTTTTGACGGAGAAAATCCCTATGCATGCAACTTATTCTTCTTCTCTTCTTCAGCAATAAAAACAAGTTATTACATACCAGATGAGGATTGTACGGTGGACTAATTGAATGATTCGATATTTAGAATGTTTAAATAATCGGTTTCTAGATAGGGTGTTCAAGAGCTGATATTGTCGCAAAGATCGGTAAAAAGATGATTCCCTATCGTCCATAATTGATCGTTTAACTTTGCCCCCAAAAGGCAGCGTTCCTACATGACCGGATTTTCCGAGAAAGCGAAGACCATTTGCTTGAAAGTTCTTCGAGCGCGAACAACTTTTGGTGGTTTTGATTCATCTTGAACCACCCATACAGACAACTCCTATTTACGTCTCTACTCATAAGCATAGATAGGCTAAAAATATAAAAAGTGACCTACGAACCTTATCTTGTTGTTGATGATTGATGAAAAATTTCGAAGGCACTCATTCCCAAAATTTTGTGTCATACGTTGATATTTTTGAATTTTTTCATTTTCTTTTTTTTTAATAACAAACGAAAAATTTGAATTTGTTTGAAATTATTTTCAAAGTTATTTCCGCGATATTTTTTAACCGTCAATCAACATGCATTTTAAATTATTATTATTAATGTTATTCGCATGGTTTGGTGTGGCATTCTCATCTATAGCCACCGGTACCTATAAGGATACAAGTAATGCTTTTCGCCCTTTCTAAGTAATCCTATTATTTTATATTAAATTTATTTAGGATATCCCGGAAAATGCGTCATCAATGATAATTTAGTGTTAAATCCTGGAGAGGAAAGGCAAGAGTTGGGCACTTGCAGTCTAATCAAATGCCTCAAAAATGGTCATGTTGTATTCACGGGGTAAAAGTTATTCGTGAAATAAGGATTCACTCAGTTAATAGTAGTCTTATCCCTTCGCTATTATATCGTAGGTGTAACATTCAGACTATACCGTCTGGTTGCAAATACCTGGGCTATAAACATCCTTTTGCTGTTTTCCCGGACTGCTGTGAGAAGAAATACGAATGCCCATCATTTCCCTCCAGCATAACATAATCTCGGTCCTTACGTGAAATGAAAATGCAAGCGCAAGGGCGAAACAAATTTTAAACCTCTACTGGCCGCTTGAAAATAAAATTTATAAAATGACTGTCGCTCTCGCTGCTTTAATGACTTTCGAATAATCTTAGTCTTCTTGCAATTAGTAAAGCACAAGCGTAGATCCTATCAAACATATACCTCGGTAGAGATTGTTACGTCGGAATTGGAATATTTTCAATGACAGGCGACTTACCTATCTTGTCATTTGCGGTAACATGAATTAGATTTGCTTAATAATTCGTTGACCGGAAAAAATGTTGCGTTTTTTCCTCCACGTGATTGTCATAAAAAGTTAAAAATAAATCAAGAAAATTCAGCATAAAGTGGGAGGAGGCAGGAGATAAGGCAAATTGGCAGCACATAAGCGTTGCTGGTGCGGAATGTAGTTTGCCAACTGTTCGCCTAAACGAATAAAATTGTTTAAAAGTAAGATTCAGTGAAAGGAATCTGAAGAAAACTATGCAGATACATGTTCTTAGTGTGTGAGAAATAAGGAGTGACACTACCGTAACAGCCTAAAAGAAGAAAAAGCACTATAGTAAAGGCAACGCTCATCCACCACTAAATACCCACCGTTTCGCCCTATAAGTATTCATGTGACGAGTTTTTAAGATAATGTACTACACGAGAAGTGATGGCAAAAGTATTCGGATCGCAAACATTTGCTACAGCGTTCGTCCTTGGGGCAAACCATATCTGTCTACTAAATTCCATAAACTTGCGAAGAAGGCGGACGGGCAGACTAGCTTACAATAAAAGATTGGACTATCCCAAGTTTCTCTGCTAAATCAGTAGGTCTATTAACTAGATACATAGGTACATTGACGCTTTACTATTATGAGATCATTTAAGCCTGCAAGAAAGGAGTACTTAGGGTTTAACATTAACAAGCTATTCGCGTAGGCAAACGCAGGTAAAAACTTGTGACGAGAGAAACACTCTTTTAAAATTTTTGGAATTCTGAACCGTTCCAAAATGACTGCTACGTATATAGGAAGATATGCCCGATATTTTCAAAGCATTCATGTACAAAATTGTAGTTATTTTGAATTACGTGACCAATGACCAAGCGATCGCTCAAAAATTCTATCTATCCTGGCACAAATTGTCTTTTAAGAGATTCGGAGCAATCTATAGTTCAAGTATTGTGGGAAACCGTTGCCTAAATGGCAGTAGCAAGAGGAAAAAGGAAACAAGCCTGAGTAGTTAAATAGCTAAAAACCGCGACTACCCAGTTAGTGTTTGCGGGCTCAAATCTCAAGTGCGGCAGGGCTCTGTAAAGTAGTTACGATGAAGATATGATTGGGCTTGGAAGCCTCCTTCATCCAAATTAGAAAACGTAGTAGTTGGTAAAGGGGTCGTCGAAACATGGATTGAATATGTTAGCCGTTGGGTTCGACTTCGTGTTTGATCGGCTAGCGACTTTGATGAAAATGTTTATCATTATATGATTTTTAAATAGGAATAATATCGGTAATCGGAAATGTATGTACAGTAGAAATCGGGAAGAGTAATTATATATACAGATATATATAGCAAAAAACAATGGTAGTTAACCAAAAAATAAAAAAAAAAAGCACAAATTTATTTATTATATAAACAATATTCAGATGAACATACGAAAAACAAAAACCGCCAAGCGTAGAAAAATCAAAATTGAAAATTCTATTGCGTGCGTGCTTACAAGGAATTGCTTAAGCAAACGTACGCACAACCGCGCACAAGTTATTTTTCTGCTTTAGCGCGAATACACTCACGCACACGTGCCTTCCAAACGTTGCAGTATAGCATATACTTGTTGGCTTTCGCATACTTGTCTTAAGGTCCTGTGTTTTTATCGGATGCCTTCGTCTAGTACCTAATAATTTTTCTAATCTTACATATATATATTATGTTTTTGCGGCCAATCAGATACTTAACTGCAATTGTCTTAAATGCCTCAATATTTCTTGCCTCCTATTCGCTATAAATTTTGCTAGAAATGTCTTTCCCATCCTCGGCAATTTGCAATAAATTTAAATATTCATTTTAAAGGCTTCAATGTGATTCAATTCTTTAAATTTTATTTGAAATTCTTCTTCTTTAAAATATAATTAAATTAAATTTAATTGACAGTTGAGAGTTTGCTACTTGTATTTCTTTTTCTAGTAATATAATCCCAAAGACAAAGCAATCACCCTTTTAAAGATTATAAACATAGAACGAATATATATATGTATATATGTATATATTAAAAGAAATAAACTTGAGACTTTTAATACTTACATGGCACCGACATAAAGTGCATTTGTGTTCTCATCAAAATAGAAAGTTTTATAATGCAAAGGACCGCAACTGAAATCTTTGACATGATCTGTAATGAAAAAGGAAAATATAAATAGAAAATGCATCGTTATAGTAATAAATAAGAAGGCAACCAACGCGCAACCCATTTTGAATGAGATAATTTTTAATGAGTAATTAAAACGAAAGCAAATGCATATCGAGGCAACCATAAATTGTGCTAATTAAAGTTTTATGAATGTATAATAATTTGCAAAACAACAAAAATAAAAAAATAAAAAATAAAAAAAATTAAAATTTCTTAAGATCAACATGAACTTCTTCCACTCACTCTTAACTTATATAGCAAAGTCGAATTTGTTCGAAAGAAAGTTTTCCTTCACAATTGTCAATAGAAAATAATATGTTGTTCATAGACTTCAACAATCGACTAAACGTAACGAAAAACGTATAGTGATGGGCTGAACAGTATTCCCAGTTAAAAATGATTTCTAATTTGAAGACATTACACTTCACATATGCAGACGTTTTAGATAGGCATTTTCAACTGACAGCAGATCAATGCAGAAGTTTACGTTCAGACAGCCGATCAGAGCTGGCCTTTTCTTCTGCTAAGAGATAAGTAATAGCGAACTTGAAAGAGCAAGTAGCGATCCATTAAACAAATTTTGATGACATCGTAGCCATGGAAGGTGCCTCCAATAAGCAGCGCAATCCATTGCCCTTTTTAAACGTAGTCGGCCGGACGATACTAGTGGCCATAGAAAGCCTAACCCCAGCTTCAGGTATAATTAAGTGATAACTAAAGCTGAACCAAAAACGTTGTCTTTGCTTTAATAACTGAAATCCTAACTAATGAAGTAGTTATGAAGAAGTCGCTTGCAAGGCGGTTCCAATAGATTCCGAAATTTTGATCAAAATGAAACTTTCTTATGTGCGACATCGTAATCGAAATCTGCCTCTCGATAACGATTTATACCTATCACATTTGCCCGAGTGACCAAATAGGCAAAGGACCACGACTAACAACTTGGTGGTCGTGAGTTTAAATCTCAAGCGCGATAGAGTTTTCAACAGAGCCGGTAGCTGCCTATGCTAGTGCTTTAGAATTTATTTCTCTGGATAAATTAATAATAATAATAATAACAATAATATATCTACGAATGCAGGTTAGGTTCCCTTTGACTTAGGCTCAGTTTACCGTTCCTAAGAACTAAAACAAAAGCTTGATAGAATTAATATTCTGACTTTGCTAGTATTCTTCTTCTTCTTCTGTTATTCAGCAAATTAACAACCGAAAATTTGCTGAGATGTGTACAGAAGGGTCATTGTGAGAGTTCCTCGCTTGGGCGTTAGTAAACTTGGGGTTAGGTTTGGCATAATATGTTATTATTTATTTATTTTAATGATTATTTGATTAAAGATATTTTGTGTAATTTTGCGTCTTATAGGTCCCCCATGTTATTGTTTTTGCTATAGTTTTTATTAAAGTACGCATATTACTTGTCCGTCACGATAGATAGGATGGAAGGAAAGAGCGAGGAATAAAGTCCGAGGTGTAAGATGTAATGTGGTATATGAGGGACTGATGGGTGCGGGAGTAAAAAAGTATACAAGGGACTAGTTTCATAACTCTGTGACTGTAAGCGCTTATATGTCTTAATGGCATGATTTAAAAAAAGGACGTAAGAATGCTGTGGTCACGAAGACCACACAAACTTAAATTGCGAAGTGTCGAATGGCGAATAGAAGTGATAACATTCGGAAAGAAAAATAGAATATGATCAGGAAATTGTGTATACATACTTATGCGTATTTCCACGCCTGTCACATAACTATGATGGGTATCAGAGTAATATGCATTTCCATGCTCTCCAATATTTATACTTCATTTTATTTTTTTTATTTACACAATGTACAGGAATTTCGCGTGAAGAGTGCAAGTATTCATAGGCATGCATGCTATTATCTAGGTCGACCATTCGAAGCCCTAAGCTATTTTTCCTAATAAAGTCATTCATTCATTTTCGAATTTCGGCGATAGACTGAAAATTATCGAGTATTTTGATACTTTTCAACAAAGCCCTCACATTGAAGGACGCTTCGAACGTCAAATGGGTGGTAATTAATTAACTGAAGGTTAAGTTTGATGTCCAGTAACTGTTATGAACCTATTTTCACCATGAAATATTGATAGGGATGTATAGGGAAATATTAAAAACGTGCTTCGATCCGAACAATTTGCAATAAAGTTGGGTTGGTTGACTATATAACAAATTACATTCGAATGCCTCAAAATCTTCATCTTACATACACAGGACTAAACGTCAAACGGATAGACAGATATGCAGACAAGCTTAGATCGATTCAGAAAATAATTGTGAATCAATCAAACGGGATAACAGAAAGAATATCCTACCATTTGAAGTCCTTCTAACTGTTAGACACACTTCAGTGTTATGTGGCCTTAGATAAGATTCTTAAGTTTCTTATTCAATCGTGTTTATAGCGCCGTTTTCCGGATTTTTGCTTGTATCGCGTTTTCGGCAATATTTGATAGTTAAAATGACTTTATCAAAATTGCTCATCACTAAAGGACTTCCCATATGATTTCTGAATTTTTCCTGTGTCAAAACTTTATAACATTTTCCCGACTAGTTTACAAGCCACAGACCGGGTGTGATGTGATAAGCGAATGTTGAGAGTTTGTGGACAGCTTTGTAAGAAGACATTACACGGATAGTTGAATTCGCTAAGAAAGGCTATCAGAAGCTGATTCGGTTCATTCATAGCTCACCAAAGTATTCGCAAAATAAATCTAAAAGAATTTTAGGAATAAATTAAAAACAAACATAAAAACGCATACCTAAGTTTTACCGACTAAATAACCATTCAAACCAATTGACTGATTGATAAAATTCTTATATGAAATTTTCATATTAAGTGAAACCGAAAAAAAGAGGATTTAAAATTTAGTCGCTATAAATTTTGTACGAATTTCATAAGTAATATATATAAATATTTTTGAAAAAACCCGTTTTGGATGCATCTCATGTAGCATAGTGACATTTTTTTCTTTTTTTTTTTTATGCGTAAAAACAAAAGATAAAAACGTCAAATATTTTAATCGACTTATCATTTATGTTTTATGCTTTCCATTTAAAAGTAGAGGCGTTTTCGTTTTTGATAGCGCTTCAATTATATTCAGTTGAAAGTTACTGTATCACTTGATAAAGCTTTTTATAGAATAACAGCTCGCAAAGCAATAAAAAGGTGAAATTAAAACAGAAAAAAAAACTTTTTTTTTTTTACATTTTACTTTTGTTGTGTATATTACATGCAACACGATATTATCAAAATATTCGATTTCAAAGACGATTTTCGTTTTCATTTGAAATAAAGTAAAAAATACCTCTAGTTCGTTTAGAATTACCTTGCACTGCATTTAAATAAGATTAAACCATGTAATTTAATTATTAAAGATAATGTTGCGGAAGATGCTTTTGCTGCGGCAGAACGAAACGAAGGCAATAGCGTTTAATAAAAAAAAAAAAGAAAAAAAAGTGGGGAAGGAACGTTGACTTCACTTTAGAGAATTGAGCTGAAAACTTGTAAGCGGAATATAGGATTTTTTCGTTTTACTATTTATTCTGTTTGACGTTCTCACTTGGGCTAAAAACTTACTCCACTGCCCTGTCTGAAAACACTAACATTCCTTCCTCCTATTCACTATCATAGATGTTTGCCATTAGCCGGCATTCCTAGCTTCAAATCGTTTCGAATTTCGTTTACAAGCGCAAGTGAAGCGCGCAAACACGGCTTAATAAGAATCGCTTCCCATATTCTTACGTAAACCACATCCATAACTCTCAAGTTCGAGAGAACTTCAATAATCTCATAGGAACTTTTAAATCTTGGAGTAAACTTTTCACAAGTCCCAGGTCCACTCATAAGGTTCCCCACAACCACATAATTACCAGTTATCAGTCGCTTTACAAATACGACTACGGCCTTTCAATTCCTCATTATAATTTTGAGAACTCAATAGCTTCCCGCTGCAAGTCCCCGCGAACCCACCATCAGATAGCCTTCATCGTCTATGTCGTTGTCTATGTCCCAGTATGCTTTGTAGGGTTTTACAATGTAGGATACAATCATCTGCTTTTTTCGTTTATTTCTCCTCTTTAGAGTGAGAACTTCATCCACACAACCGCCCGGCTATACCAACATTCCTATCATTCCTATCAACATCGCAGCCAAAGACGTGCTACTAATTAAGACAATTACATTAAGCTCAGTAATATCTCTTCTGCTTGCAAAGCTCTCTGGTTCACCACTTGCTTGTAAAGCTCCAACTACTCTATTTAATTATACGAGTTCTACTAAGATGTGTAGGGTGGTTTATTTCCAGGCTTAGAACTCTCTTAAAAATGATTACAAAAATAAAAAGAAATTCAAGTTTAATGATAAACAAAAGATGTTTTTTTTTTTTTTTTAATTCTAGAATATTTTTATTGTCTAAATTTGAGGTCTAAATCAAAATTTTCAATAGAAATATTTTCCTTTTTCAGCAAAATATCTCAATAATAAACTGAAGCTCTTCAATGAGGCAAAAAAAAAAAGGAAAAATTTATTTTAGAAAATTTTTATGTGAATCTATTCACTTTGCATGCGGTTGTATGCTTTCTTTCTCTGTTTTGTTTCCTATATTTGTATCAAGCTTCAGTACATTTCATCTCTAAGAGAATATTTTGCAATTTTTAATCAAGATATGTTTACCTTTATTACACTACTTCCTTCCTTAATTATAAGATGATTTTTCGTAAAATTCAAGAAAATTTAAAAAGTTTTCAACCAGAATGCAAATCTTCTTTCCATTTCATTCATTTGTTTTCTTTTTCCATTCTTTTACATGTACGCCATTCGAATCATTTTAATAGATAGTCATAGGCCATGCTCTGATACGCCACAAGCTGTATTAATAGTAGCATAGAAAGCTGACAACAGTTGTCACAAAAACATGGCAAGTGTAGCATAGGGACTAGAAATGACGAGAAGAATAGTGATATA